CTGAGTCTCTCAGGCTGAGCAGAAACTGCACCCCACTGAAATCATCACCGAGGTGGGACCTCTCTCCAAGCAGTGCCATGGTTGGACTTGTTCACAACCCCCCCATGAAGCACCCCTGTCACCACAGGTCCCTGCCCTGTGCTGTGCTCCACCAGGAGGTGAACCCTTTCTGCGTCCTCAACCCCAACCCCAAGATGGTGTGGGCTCCAAGGACCCCAAAGCTTCATCTTGAGATGAATCCAAGTGCTCCACCTCAGGGAAAGGCCTTTTCTGCCCGGTTCCTGCTGGCTGCTGGGCACCAAGCTGAGGTTCTGCTGATGACAATCCCCACCACTGCTACCAGCAAGCCTAAATTCTCTTTCAGGCTGCTTCACTGGCAAGCAGGGCCCTGGCTGATCCTCCAAGAGGAGGAGACCTCATTTATGGCACAGGACTTCTGCTGAGTCTGCAGGGAGGGTGGAGAGGCCAGCTGGTAGGGGATGGTGGGGATCACTGCTGGCTTCGTGCCCTTGGGCAGCCCTGTCCCTTTGGAGGTCCCTGGTACCTTGCAGGGGCTGCCTGTCCCAGCCCACAGCTCCCTGTGGGTCTGCAGGAGGTTTCCAGGCTCACGTCCATGAAGCTGACCTCCAACCCCACCCCTGAGCAACAACAGGTCCAAGTGTCCAAGCTGGGAAAAGTTCTTCCCTCTGAGGGTGGTGAGACCCTGGTCCAGGTTGCCCAGGGAAGCTGTGGATGCTCCATCCCTGGAGGTGTCCCAGAACAGGTTGGATGGGGCTTGGAGCAACCTGCTCTAGTGGGAGGTGTCCCTGCCCATGGCAGGGGGTTGGAAGGAGATGATCTTTAAGGTCCCTTCCAACCCAAACCATTCCAGGATTCTATGACCCTGGAGCTGCCTTGACCATGAATGGAGCTTCAGGTACAGCTTAAGAGCCCAGAAGTTGACCTCAGAGCCCAGCAGGATTTCCCTGGGGGCTCCAGCTACACCCAGTATAACACCAGGAGGCTCGTTGCTCTGCTCTGGTGCAAGTCCATGGTGGAAACCACAGCTGAGGAGAGAAGAGGAAAGGGTGGAAAGGTCCTTCTGGAGGCAGCTCTCCCATCTGCCAACCAACTGTAGGACCCTTCTAGTGATGCTACGAGCGTTGGCTGACGTAGAGAGGGGAACTCCCTCTGCCTTCAGGGTGGGTAGCAAGGAAGGAGAGCAGGAGAAGGACACTCAAGAGGAAGCAGAAACCTACCAGCAAAGAGCATCCTCCCTGTCAACATCTCAGCCAGGATGCAGCCGGCCGCCCACATGTCGATGGCCTTGGTGTAGTTGTTGGGTGAGAGGAGGAGCCGAGGAGATCGATACCATTTGGTCACCAAGCCTTCAGAAAGGTAGCCCTGAAAAAACAAACCCCACAGAGATAAGAGACATCAACCAGCTTAGGAGAGAAGCTCCTCTGCTCCTCCCAGCTCTGCTGCCCCACCACGCTCGGGCAGGCTGGGGGGGTGACGTGTCTTCAGGAAGCCAAGAGGTGAGGCCACCAGAAGCTGAGATGTTTTGGTGTTCCAGGAGGTGAGGCACATGCTGCTCCCCAAGATGCTTGGCTGGTGCTTGGCACCATGGTAGTGGAGCATCTTTCTGTGAAGGACAGGTGGCTTCAACAGCACAGATTTGGAGATGGTAGCTCCAAAAGTTATTTCAGGTCGCTGTGAGAGGACTTTGAGGCAGGACCTAAATCCCTGTTTGACCATCTGAGACATTTTGGAAGCTAAACACATTATTTAAGTACTTTGCTGGGTGGCAGCTCCAACCCTCCAGAGTGTGAAGGTGGCTTCACCTTCCCAGCTCATCACAGAATCATTACAGTTGGAAAAGGCCTCCAAGATCAAGCCCAACCATCAACCCAACGCTCCCATGACCACTAAACCATGTCCCCAAGTGCCACATTCACACATTTTTTGAGCCCCTCCAGGGCTGGGGACTCCAGCACCTCCCTGGGCAACCTGGGCCAGGGTCTCACCAACCTCCCAGTGAAGAACTTCTTCCTAATTTCTAATCTCAGCTTCCCCTCTTCCAGTGTGAAGCCATCTCCTCTTATCCTGTCACTACAAACCCTTGTCCAAAGTCCCCCTCCCAGCTTTCTTGTAGGCCCCCTTCAGACACTGGAAGGCCACCAGAAGTTCTCCCCAGAGCCTTCTCTTCTCCAGGCTGGACAACCCCAACTCTCTCAGCCTGGCCTAGGAGGAGAGGGGTTCCAGCCCTTCCTTCCCAGGGCAAATACTGGGAAGGACTGATGGGAGGTTTGGAAATCAAGACTTCTCTGATGCAGCCTGAGGTCCTCCAGGACAAATACCTGAGGTTGCTCCTTGGTTCTCAGTGGCTTTTCCAGCCCCAACAACTACATCTGCTCGGCCTCCAGTGGCTAAAAACATGGCCTAGACTTTTGTTTTCAGAAAATACATAAGAGAAGGTCCTGACCTAGCACCTGGAGGAAGTTCAGCCTGGGGTTGTTCAGCCTGGAGAGGACAAGGCTCTGGGGAGACCTTCTGGTGGCCTTCCAGTGCTTCAAGGGGGCCTCCAAGAAAGCTCTAGCTGCAGATGTCCCTGCTCCCTGCAGGGGGTTGGACTGGATGACCTTCAAAGGTCCCTTCCCACCCAACCCAGTCTGTGATCCTATGAAGTACCTACAGCTCTGTGGACTATGAAGTCCTTCAGAGAAGCATCACCACAGCTTTGGGAGCCAGCCCCACACAGTCACACTGGACCCACCTAAACCCAGGTTAGGTCCAGGCTCAGCTCTTCCCCGTGGTGCCAAGATGGACCTGAAGTCAGCAGCCGTGCCAGGATGGAGAGCCTGAGGACTTCCACCCATCACCTATTCAAGGCATGACCTTCAGCACAAGAATTTCACCATCTGCATCGACTCCACCAGAAATAAACACCAAGAGCAGCAGCATATTAATTAGTCCTAATTAAAATGGGACCTTCAACTTCGTGACGAGGTCCTGTGGATCCAGCACAGCCCCTTCTGAGCTGAACCACCACTGGAAGCTCTTTCAAACCCCAAGTCAACGGCGTTGATTCAAGAGCAGAACCAGTTTCAGGTCCAAGGTTTGTTCTCAAGCCCAGAAGGAGAAAGAACCTCATGCTGGTGTCACAGTGGTCAGAGGAGATGCCGTCGATTCAAGAGCAGAACCAGTTTCGGGTCCAAGGTTTGTTCTCAAGCCCAGAAGGAGAAAGAATCTCATGCTGGTGGTCACAGGAGATGCTGGCACAGCACAGCACCCTGTGGGGACTGCAGCAAGACCTGCCAGGGCTCCAAAATAAGTCATCTCCAAGTCTGGAGCTCCTCCTTGGAGTTGGAGGGACCAAGGGCATATCTCCTCGAGGTGGGCACCAAAATGAAGGATTCTACCTACTGCCAACCAAACAGCCCCAGTGCTGCGGGCAGAGCCTCTCCTGAGTGCATCTCACAGAATCATGGAACTCTTTGGGTTGGAAGAGACCTTTCAGATCAAGTCCAACCCTTCCCCCATCCCTGCCAGGTCCCCACTGCCCCGTGTCCCTCACCCCACATCTCCAGGGCTTGGAAACCCCTCCAGGGGTGGGGACTCCACCACTGCCCTGGGCAGCCTGGCACAGCCCTGCACAGCCCTTGCCAGGGAGACATTGCTCCTCAGGGCCAACCTCAACCTCCCCTGGGGCAACCTGAGGCTGTTTTCCTCCCTGTCAGGAGCTGTGCAGAGCCAGAAGGTCTCCCCTGAGCCTCCTGTGCTCCAGGCTCAGCACCCCCAGCTCCCTCAGCTGCTCCTCCCCACACTTGGCCTCTAGACCCTTCCCCAGCAGCTCCGTTGCCCTTCTCTGGCCACGCTCCAGCCCCTCCAGGTCCTGCTGGGAGGGAGGGGCCCAAAACTGACCCCAGGATTCGAGGTGCAGCCTCCCCAGTGCCCAGTCCAGGGGACAATCCCTGCCCTGCTCCTGCTGGCCACACCAGTGCTGCTCCAAGCCAGGCTGCTGGTGGCCTCCTTGGCCACCTGGGCACACGCTGCCTCATCTCCAGCTGGCTGCTGCCCACCAAAATCCATCTTTCTGCACAAGCAAGCTGCAGAGGTGCAGACCAGATGTCCACAGACTGGGAATCCAGCAGGACCCACCCATGGCCTCCACGTCCACACCTCCATCCACAGCCAGGCCTCCTCCTTCTGCTGCAGGCTGTGAGGGGACTCAGAGGAGACACGGGGCCAGGGGCAGCTGCCCGAGGGTGGAAGGTGGAGGGTGGTGCCCCTGGGGTGAGCAGGGAGCAGCGTCCCACCTCCCTTCCTCCTTTGAAGACCTCCTCATGATGACCCACTCGGGGATTTCAGGAGTTCACCGGATGGGCTGGAAGCTATTAAATTTCCACTGCTCAGCAAGGACAAAAGGATGGGAGGACTTCAAAGGTTTGAAGATGTTCTGGAAACCATTTACCACGAGATCCCTGTAGAGCAGACGTGTCTGTTGTCTCCTCCAGATGGGACCACCCAACCCAAGGGGTCTCCTCTGAGCAGTGCCAGGAGACACGCCAGGTGGGATGCACAGGAAGGGCTGAGTCTGCCCTCCAAAACACTTCTCATTTTTAAGTCTACACATTCATTGGCATTCCTCCCAATTTTTAAAGCTTGATTTTGTTGTCCCCCTGCTCTCCCATCCCTCCTGCCCACCATGAGCTGAGGGAGCTCCAAGGAGGACATCCAAGTTGGGGCAGATGACATCTGGACTCTCATTTGAAGCCAAAGAAACACCCCCAGGCAGCCTGTGAAGAAAGGGAGGCAGGAGCTGGGCCACGGGGGGCAGGCAGTGAGGTGTGGTGCAGGCAGGACCATGAGGCTGTGGGTGGAGAGCCTCTGATGGTGAAGGTGAGATGCTCCTGCTCAAGAAGGAGGTGGCTAATGAAAGGGAAATACTCAGCTTGGACTGTTTGGCATGAGGATGAGGACCTAATGGAGGCTGGAGCTTCCCCTTATCATCATCTCCAACACTTCTCTGTCCACCAGTTGGGTACCAAGTGATAGATCACAGACTGGTTTTGGATGGGAGGGGACCTTTCAAGGTCATCCAGTCCAACCCCCTGCAGGGAGCAGGGACATCTGCAGCTAGAGCAGGGTGCTCAGAGCTCCATCCAACCTCCCTTGGGATGGTTCCAGGGATGGGGCATCTCCTCAGGGCTGCTCTCCAGCCCTTCACCCCCAGCCTGGGCTGAGACCAGGATGTTCTGGATGAGCAGCAGGATTGGAAGCTCCCAGGGATAAAAGGAGTAGTAAGAAGGAAGGAGAAAGACCCTGCATGGCAGGATGGTGAGAGGATCAGGGTGACAGGGAGAGTGGGACACCCAGGATCATCTCCTGAGGGTTCCCTCCTCCTAGACCTGATTTTCTGTGCCCTAAAGAGAAGTTTCCAAGTATGTGAGCACCCAGGGAGCTCAGAATCACTTTTACCTGAGTCAGAGCCAAAATTGCAGCCACCAGGTCTAAGGAGCTTGTGAAGGTGCAGACCCAGGACTGGACGTGACCTCAGCCCCTTGAAATTCACCTCATGGGAAGCCTCAAATCAACAGATGCTCCCGTGCTGCTCTTACCACGTGGAGCAAAGGATCTGAGCAGCCAACACCCTGCTGTGGGTGACCTGCTGGAGCAGGGGGGTTGGACCAGATCATCTCCAGAGGTCCTGCCCAAACCCCCACCGTGCTGGGGTTCTGTGAAACACCTCCTGGCTTGGGGCAGGGAGGGCAACCACCACTGCCAACCACCCGAGTGGCCTCAAGGAGCTGTTTCTCCTGAGACGACTGTTGGAAGGGGGTCGGGACCTGCCAGCACCTGGGAGGACCCCAGGTGGGGGTGAAACCATTGTATTCCCTCCCCTTCCCACATACACTCTGATAAGAGGCAGGGAGTGGGTTCTAATTTCACTCCTGCCTTGGAGCTCGGAGAGGGAAGTTGTCCTTTCACTCCGTGGGACCGTGCAACCATTTCTGAGGGTTTTGTGTACTTTATTTTTGGTATTTTCCCCTAATCTTTGTATATAATATTTTCCTTACCTCCTTTTTTCATTTTCTGTCCCTTGTTGAACAATATACTTCATTTTTTTTCCCAAAGTCTCTCTCTCTCAGGGGGGGAGAGGTGAGTACATAGTTCTGTTCCATGTGGGTCCTGCCCTGAACCCCTTTTTACACAGAACCAGGACAAAGACCCACCACAGTCTGCCCACTTCACCCTCCCCACGCCGAGACACCACCGGCCTCGTGACGCCCCCTACCTTGTGGGAGTAATGCTGGTCCACGATCCTGGCCAGCCCGAAGTCGCCGATCTTCAGCACCAGGTCCTCGGTGCTGATGAAGATGTTGGCCGGCTTGAGGTCGCGGTGGAGGACGTTGGCCGAGTGGATGTACTTCAGCCCCCTCAGCAGCTGGTACATGAAGAGCTTGGCGTGCTCCTCGGCCAGCTTCCCCTGCTCCAGCAGCCGCGCCAGGTCCGTCTCCATGTACTCCTGGACGATGTAGACCACGTTGAACTTGAAGAAATCCCCCCTTAGGTGGGTCCCTTTCGGTCCCAACACCTCGTAGACCTTCACCACGTTGTCGTGCTCCAGGCGGCGGATGATCTTGATCTCCCGGAAGGCGTGTTTCATGCTCTGGGGGTCTCCAATGGTGATCTTCTTCACGGCCACCTTGCGACAGCTCTTGCTGTCCAGGGCTGACAGCACCAACCCGTTGGCCCCGAAACCCAAGGGGCGGAAGTTGACGAAGCGACAGCCCAGGTCGTACCCGTACATGCTGGCGATGCAGTCGCACTTCTCCGCCATCCTTCTGGGGTGGCTTCTTCCTCACTTGAGAAGATGGGAAAGTTGAAGGGTTTCGAGATCCCGAAGGTGGTTTGAGGTCATTATGACCAACAGATGCTCGGGGGGGAAGTCCTGCCCTGGGCCCGTTGCTTCGAGAGGACTTGCAGATGGAGGGAAACTAGACACGAGCACTCACACCTATGAAATGTTTTCAACTGGGGGAGAAGACAATTCCAGCAGCGTGGAGGAACGCAGCCCCCCAAGATCTCTAGCTGGACAGAAAGGTTCTTCTCCTCCAGACCAGAAGATCAGCGCCGCTCCATTCTTCAGCCACTTTCTGCTTCTCCTTCCCCGATGTTCTGGAGATGGTGCTGGTGGCACGGCCGGGCGCCCGGCTCCGCGTCCCCGGGGTCTCAGCGCTGGGACATCTGGCCAACCTCGCCGTGGGGCAAAGCCCAGAGCAGCCCCATGGCCCCTCCGCTGCCCCGAGCCCTCCCTGCCCACGAGTTTGGGTGTTTTCCCCTCCGAGGAAGAGCATCCAGGCACCAGTTGGGCTTTCCAGCTGTCAGCAAAGCTTCACCCTTCTCACGGCTCCATCTCCAGCAGGGGCAGAGCCCACCCTCCCCATCAGCAGATGGAGACCTTGACGTTCTGCAGACCAAAGCTCCCTTTCCAGGCCACCTTCAGAGCATCACCTTTCCACGTTGGTGGTCTCAGCACCTTCTCCTTGAAGGTCTCTCACCGGTGAAACCAAACGTCGTGGGATCTGGACAGCTTGCTGGAGGAGTTCAGGCCTCAGCAGGTCCCAGCCCTGCTCCTGGAAGAGAAGAGGAGATGGATTCATCTGATAACAGTGCTGCCTATGTAAATGCCCTGCTGAAGGTTAACCAGGAGCAAACCCAGGACCTTCTGGAGACTCATGAGTTAACCCCTCCAAACCCACACCTTGTCACCAGCACTTTTCAGCTGGTTTATTTTTCCTCTTCCCTCTGGAAGCCACAGAAAACTGGAACTCTTCCTTTCCCCGTCCTTATTTTTGTTTTAATCAGCCTGAAAATGTCACAGAGAGATTTTCAGGAGGCAAAGGTTCAACTCCACATCTCTGACTGCTCATCCAAAGCAGATCAGAAGGAGAGGACAGAAGGGGCCCCGGAGGGTATGAACCATCCCTGCTGAGCTGCTGGCAGCAGAGAGCCAGCGACCTTTCCAGCTGGTAAAGACCAAAACTACAAACTGGGCAAACCAGGTGGGACCACCCCACAAAGAGCCTTAAAACCCAAGAGGGGATTCAACCCACTCTGAATTCGGGGTCCCACAGCAAACCTTGGCAGCAGCCAGGGGACCATAGAGCTGGTTTGGTTGGAAAAGACCTTTCAGATCATGGAGTCCAACCCTTCCCCCATCCCTGCCAGGTCCCCACTGCCCCGTGTCCCTCACACCACATCTCCACGGCTTGGAAACCCCTCCAGGGATGGAGCCCAGGTAGGGCTGGAGGGGACACAGTGCTGGCTCCCACACTGAGCTTCTTGGCTTCCTCTAGATGCAGTGGAAGGAGACCAAGTTTTGTCTCGTCAGCTTAATTATTAATAATTAGTCCAGTTCTAGAAGCACTGAAAGGGAAAACGTGCTGTGTAAGACTGAAAAAGAAGAAAGAGCCCTTGGCCACCTCTCAGCCCCCGGCTGCGTGGTGACCCTGCAGCATCTTCTGCAATTGGGGCAGAGCTGTCCCTCAAAGGATGGCGAGATGTGCTCCGGGTCCCCCTCAGGAAGCACCCAGGGAAAAGCTGCTGCTTTTGCACCAGCCATCTCAATTTTCCCCTCCTCTTGCCCACTGTGAGGAAGAAATATTGTTTCAGTGGGTAATGAAAAGAGCTGCTGAGACCAGTTGTAAAAGCAGCAGTGAGGCTGTTTGGCTGCAGATGATGGAGAAGATGGTTTCTTCTCATCGAACCACAAACCAGAGTCCCAGGGGTTTTTCAAGCTGATGAGGCCAAGATCCTTCTTGAGAAGACAACTGCGGTGGGAGCTTCACAGCAAACCACAGCACAACACAAGCAACAAGTCATAGAACCATGAAGGTTGGAAAACACCTCTAAGATCATCCAGTCACCAACCCAACGCACCATGAGCACTAAACCACGTCCTGAAGTATCATGTCTATGTGGTTTTTTGACCCCTCCAGGGCTGGGGACTCCAGCACCTCCCTGGGCAGCCTGGGCCAATGTCTCACCACTCTGCCAGGAGAGAAATTCTTCCTCAGATCCAAATTAAACCTCCCCTGGAGCAACTTCAGCCCATTTCTTCTCATCCTATCACTAATTACCTGGGAGAAGAGACCAACCCCTCAGCACTCCAACCTTGCAAGGAGCTGTGGAACACCAGAACCCTCAGTCTCCTCTTCTCCAGACGGACCCCCCCCAGGTCCCGCAGCTGCTCCTCACCAGCCATGAACCCAGACCCCTCCCCAGATCTGTTGCCCTTCTCTGGACCTGCTCCAACCCCTCAAGGTCCTTCTCCCACTGCTGCCCCAACACCTCTCACTTGAACACCTTGTAAAGGGACAGATCCTGCAAACCACCACACCTCACCAGCCTTCTCCAGCTGATCTCAAGATCACAGCTGCTGCAGAGCAGGATGGGGTCTAGCAGGGGCTGTGTCCATCACATGGGCTTCTCTTAGCTTTGGGTAGACCCATCAGGAGCACGATGAGCTTCATTTCTCCCTTCACAAAAGCTCTTCTTTCTGCCTCTCCCAAGCAGCAGCAGCAGCCCTGCTGTGGAGGACCCCTCTGACCTGGGGCTGAGTGGTGGAGGGTGCAGCAGACCCAGACATGGGAGTTTGGTGCCCACCGTGGTGGCTTCAGGGAATCTCTCCAAGTTTTAGTCACAGTAACGGAGCTACTGAAGCAGATGGAAATATGGGCAAGTCTCCTGTAGCTCTTTGGCTCCCAGGCCAAGAGTTTTGAGGTTGAAACTTCATTAGTCCTTCCCATCAATCCAGATGGGCTCTTGGTGAGCCCTGGGCAGGGTCACTCCTCGGGCAATCCTTCTGCTCTTCTCTGGGCAAACAGCCTCTCCCCTCCCTCCTGCAGCTCAAGCTATCACCTGCAGGGTCTGGTTCCCTCCTCCTCCACCTTGTAGGAGCACGAGGTTTCTCCCACAGAGCTGGGGGGGTCCCTGTCCTGCCCAACCCAAGACCCTCCACGTGCTCCACACCAGCCCCCCAGGAGAATCGGCCCATGTGGAGACCAGACCCAGCAGATGGGATCCCACAGAAAGAGGAGAACGTGGAGGGGTCAAGAACCCACCCCAGCAAAGTTGGCCTGACCTCAGAGGAGTGAGCAGCTCCTCAAACCTCGTGGTGACCACAGCCAACGACAGGAGTCCCTCAGCCTTTGTAGGCTGCTGAAGAGCAACCACCCCTCTTGCTGAGCTCCCCACCAGAGACCCCCAACCCTGGCGCCCCAGAAAGCGTCACCAACCTGTGCCCAGAGCCTGGACCCAGCCAAAAGTCAGAGGACTGCTGTTGTGAGGTCCTCTGGGTGAAGCTCACGGCAGTTCTCACGGGCAGAGTCCTCCCCCTGGGGCAGGATTAGACCCTCTTACGCCAGAGCTGCTTCTGACAAAGAGTCAGAGATTAACCAGAGTCCAGTCGATGAGCACACGTCTGAACATGGGCTTTAACCTCTCAGCTTCACCAGCAGCAACCTTGGGGGACCTGAAGCCACTTGGTTTTCACAGAGGGGTTTTTCTGCCCCTCTGCCCCACTCTGAGGGGACCTCCACTG